AGCTACTTCATCATGTGTGCGTCTATATAATTTGGTAACAAAGCAACAAAAAGGCCAAAAAACAAGAAAAAAAAAAGTGAGGGGGGCTGATGGTCTCAAAAGCACAGCAAGAGTGCAGTGTGGTCTGAAGCGGCGGAGAGGTGGCCGGCTAGCACCTGGCTGCAGAGCCAGCAGGGGGAGGGAGGAGGGAAGCCCACCTTGCTAATCAAAGCCCCACCCAAACACGGCTCAGGTAATCGAAGCTGTAATGCCTTGATAGAAAACTCTTGGGTTAATGTCAGCTCAAGCCTACGGTGATCATTTCTTCCACGTCAAAGCAGCACTTAATTTTCTCATTGCAGAGCCACAGACTAAGCATAGGTAAGTAGAGGAGAGGGGAACCTCACCACCTGATTCTCCCTCCTGCATCTCTTCGTGCCTTCCAAGCTTCTACGCTACCTTCCTGCCACCACCCCCCTGGAGGCTCCCATCCACCCCAAAAAGCGCTGGCTTGGTCTCTGCCAGCCTCCAATCCCGGTGCCAGGGCACCGGGAACGAGCTCCAGGACTGAGTGTGCCCTTCTGGAAACAGGAGGGATGGGGTCCCATCCTGGACCCCCCACCTACCCCTCTCATTGCCTCAGTTTCCCTTCCTGAATACAGTACCTGCCCTCACAGGGAAGTTGCGAAGCACCTGTAGCCCTGCCTGCCGCATAGTGGTGGCTCAGAAATGAACGACTACCATCACCTGCGGGCAGAGCGCCCAGCCTCTGCGCCCTCTCAGGGCCTGAGACCGAGGCTTCCACTACATGGCTGGCATGTCACAGCCAGGGGCCAGGGACACAGCTCTGACCCCCAGAGCCACTTCCAGGGGATAACTGATATAAAAGCAGAGCTCTTTTACTGCGGAAATTCTCCCATGGGTCTTCCCCCATTTGGTGCAGGGCCCAACCTCCTGGTCCCACAGGGCACTGGGACGTGCCTGTCTCCCCACCAGTTTGTGTGCTCCCCGAAGCCAGGGTGGGACCAAGGCTGACCTCCTATATCCCCGGGGAGGCCCAGGACAAGGCCTGGCACAAGCAGTGTGAGAAATGAACTTGATACCCCCAGGGGATGTACAGAAACGTCTGGATACATTTTTGATTGTCATAGTTGGGGGTATGACTGGCGTGTCGTAGGCAGAGGTCAGGGATGCTCCCAAACAGCCTACGATGCACAGCACAGACCCCCACGCGTGCCCTGGTCTGGAGAAATGACGTCCAGGTCAGGCTGCTAAATTCCACCCAAGGCCTCACACGTAACCTGAATATTGTCTCTTAGGGAAAATAAGCCCCATCTACGGCAGGTTCAGAGCATACAAACAACCAAGTACTTGACACTCTCTGCAGTAGCAAAAACTCCAGTATAAGAGAAATACCAAAGATCTACCACGATTTTTAAAAGTGAAAGCTGGGTGCAGATCCTGAAGCAGCCAACAGAGCCAGCTAAAACCAGCCCTTGTCCCAGGGGCAGACCGTAACAGACGCCTCTGGATGGCAGAAGCCGGCCAGGGAAGGCCCCGCCCCTGCCCCAGGCACTGCCAGGGCCCGGCCCAGGTGGCTTGCAGCAAGGCCCACCTCCCGGCGGCAGTGGCTTCCATCCATGTCTGCCTTGATTTGAGGGAGAAAAAGAAGAGGCTCTGGGAAAGAGGCCTGTTCTCCAGGGTCTGTATCCCGAGGATACATGTTCCCTTGCATTTTCTGACCCCTTAGTTTATTTCAGCGCCAAGCCCTCCACCAAACATGTCCACGTACAGACTCACTCATCTACCCTAGGTGGTGAGAAGGAAATCATCTCAGAACACGTACTTCTAGCAGGCAGCACAGTTCCCCAGTACAGGCAAGCAGGTGTGCGCACACACACACACACAGCCCAACACCCTCACTGCAACCCCCTGGCTTAGCTCATTCTGACTGCACACACGACCTGCTCACTCCTCTGATGACCCTCCCTGCCACCAAGAGCAACAGCACAGTGGCCAGAAAAGTCTAGACTTGAACCACCAATCCCTCTCCTTGGCAAAAGGCCTCCCCTCCCAACAACTCCCGACCACGTGCCACATAAAATGCACAGGTGAGCCCAGCCAACCAGGCAGGGCCTTCCCTCCCCCACCTCCTCGTGGGACTTGCTCCCTTCCCTCCAACCCCACTGCAGCCTCAGCCCTACCCTGCCATCATGCCCTGGAGGGGATAAGAGTGCAGAGCAGGTGTGAGTTCATAAAGGAAGCCCCCCAGCTCGCAAGTCCCTGCTAATAGAGAGGCTTCTCCCAATGTGAGTGGACTTTTGCCTTGACTTAGCCTCCAAAATCCAGCCTTCACAGCCTGAGAGACGGCTTCGGGCCACCTGACACCAGTGTCCTTCTAGGCCAAATCTAGGCGTCACCTGGAGACTGGCCTGCCCTGCTCTAGGTCTTGCAGACCTGCTGGGTGGGGGGCTTCTCAGCGCGGACAAAATCTGACCTGTAGAAAACTCACTTCTGTTTTTAAATTTGCATTGAGTCTCACTTTAAATAATGTTGAGAACAAAATGCAAGCTGATATTTCAGCTTACTTAAAAGGCTTATTAAAAACACTAAATCCAAAGATGTTAAAAGCTATAATTGTCCTCATTCAAACTGGAAAAATAAATCTATTTGCTTTCTTCTTTTATGATACTCTTCTTTTAAAAAAAAAAAAAATAAGTTCATCTATATTCTCATGAGCATCGTTGCTGTCTTTTCTCCCCCTCCATTCAAGGCACTTTAAAAACACCTGTGCCATTCATAGCCAACTTCTGAGCAAAAGGCAGCCACGTTTGGAGAAGGCTGTTTCACTCTGATTTCCTGACGCCAGAGATACGCTCATCTTGCTCAAAGAGTAAGATGGAGTTCAGAGTTCAAGTGAACGGGCTCATGGATTTTATAGGTCTGAGCTGATGGAAATTTCTTTGGTTACCTAAGGCAGAGCAAACAACCTAATCGGTCAGCTTTTTGGGGCTCATCGGGCAATGATGCCACATCTCAGCACTGCCTTTGGCGCCCCGTGAGCAACTGTGGTTAGAACGGCTGCACCTCCTGGCCGCCTCCCCATCCTCTCCTATGATGGGGGTTATTGGCCTCTGGCTTGGACCAGAGCAGCGTGACTGTTGCTGCCTGCCTGCCCTAAGTCTTCCGTGAAGACAGCCCGGCCAGCAGTTAAGTTGCTGAGTTGTGAGGATCTGAAGCCTACTCAGAAGTTAACCACTCCAGGCGCAGAACGAGATGGGTTTTCAGAGCACTGGTCCAAGAGAATGCAAATTTATTGCAAGCGTTTTCTCCAGGTTTACCATAATGACCATTTATGTCTCCAGGAACTGTTTCCCTGAACCCAGTTTAGGGTTGAAAGCATTTTAGAGACTTTCCCTGCAGATGACATATGAGCTACTAACCTTTATTCATGTGCCCAGATGTTAAATTCATTTTCATCACATTTATGCAAATTTCATTTGAACAGTAAATCAAAAGAAATCTTAAATCATTGTACACTATTTAAAAATCAACACTAAATCCGGTTTACTTGCAGTGACATTAACATAAAGTCACAGCTAAGGGACTCAAGGTGGAAGGCAAATGTCATAATCATTTCTTTCATGCAACGGTGGCAGAGAGACCCAGAGTCCTGGCCACGCATCAGATTCAACTGTCTCCGCAGTGGTCACAACTATATTTACGTTTTACCAGATTAAGGGTATTCTGGAAATTAAAATCTCCTAAAAGTTTTCCAAACTTTGGAAAAACAGAGGTCCCACGGTCCAGGGACCTGCCATCCCTGACAGTGTCTGGGGCCGAGGAAGAGAAAGTCCAAAGGCAGGGCCCAGTGGTGGCACTTCTGGCAGCTGGTTTCCTCCCCAGCGGGGGGACAGGTTAATTCCTAGGGCCCTGGCAGCCCTGCATTTGTTAGGGAGCTGGACGTGGGCGCTATCATAACCCAGCAAATCAGCCAGGCGGCTAATGGTGGGATCAGGAGACGTTTGCACTCTGCTATCAGAATGACATCATAACCCAAGCAGCCTCAGCCAGAAGCCCTAGGCTCTCGCGGAGCAGAGGCCAGAGGGCTGCGGGGGCGCCCCCCTGCGACTCCCTGGGCTGAAGACCTGTCCCCTGCCCCTTCCAGGCCGGGTGGGGGGCCCAGCCCCCAGCAAGTTCCCAGGCTGGGCCCAGCAAACAGGAACTAACTAAGGTTACAGGCTTCCTCCGAGCCCATCCACTTTCCCCCCAGATTCTGAACACTGTAAATAATAATAATAATAATAGATTATGTATTTGAATAAAATGCGAGATACCAGTAAAACCACTTCCCTCATCAGCCAACTGCTGGTGTTTTATAAATGCAGCTACCTCTTCGCTGTAGAATGTAGGACGTTTCCAACAGAATTCTCAATCTTTTGGTGACCCTGTCTCGAGCAAAGCAGCTCTGCTCTCTCTCTGCTTGGAGCAGCAGAAATAGAGGATGCCGAGGGGACCGGGGCGAGCCAAGGGAAAAGCCCTTCCTGCTCCTGGTGGCTTTTCTTTCTCTTTTAAAAGCACAGCCGCGCGCGCACACAGACACACAGACACACACGCACACACACACACGCACGCACGCACACACAAACCCCAGGATAATGGGGCAGGCATCGGGCCACAGGCTGCATCCGCGGCGGCACCACCAGCGGCCGGCCCGCTCCTCCCGGCTCTGCCCGGCACCGCGGCCCGGCCCGGCTCCCGCCCGGCTCCCGCCCGGCGCTGGTTGCCCGACTCCGCCGCGCCCCCAAAGACCGCCTCCCGAGTCTCGTACCGGCACACGCGCGGCCCGAACACCTCACCTGGCCCGGAAAGTCGGAGGACAGAGGGAAAAAGTTGCGCGGGCAGCAGCCGGCAGCGCGGGAGCAGCCCTGCCCGAGGCCGCCGCGCCGCGGCTCCCGCACCTCGCCCGCCGGCCGTGCGCGCTGACCCCGGGGCGCGCCGAGGCCGCGCCAGGCACTTACTTGGCACTTGCTTTTGAGCGTGCAGGTCGTCGCGGTTTTCGCTTGGGGTTTCAAACAAGTTTCAGGGAGAAAGAAGGAGGCCAAAAAAAAAAAAAAAATCCAATTATGCAAATGGCTCCGGACCGGGAGGCGCGCGCGCCGGGTCTGCCGCCGCTACTGTCCGAGTTCCCGGAGCGGCCCCGGCCGGGCAGATGTACCGGGGCCCGCGTCACGGCTGCGCCGGGTCCCGCCGCCGGAGCATCCCGAAGTTCACTGAAGCGGTAACGTCCGCCTTCCCGGCGACCCTCCGCGCGCGGGTTCGCTGTTCCACCCTCCGCCTGGACCCGGGCGGGGCGGGGGCCCCCGCGCCTCTCCGCCTCCCCTCCCTCGCTCCCCCTTTCGCTCTCTCCGTCTCCCCCTTGCCTCCCCTCGCTCTCCGCAAGTGGCCTGCCTTCCCCTGCGCGAACAATGAACAAAGATGCGAGTGATGGAAAGATCGCCCCCTCCCAACCCCAGCGGCGAGCGAAGCCGGCCTTAAAGTAGAAATCCAGTTGCCGAACCGGACTGGGAACGCAGACCGCCGTCCCCGGGCCGGCCTCCCTCCCGCACACACGCACGCACACGCACGCGCGCGCACCCCACCCCGAGTCACCTAAGCCCTGGCTGGAGCCGGGGGGCGCCGAGGTCGGGGCGCGCGGAGCTGCCCGGATCGCCGGGGACGCCGGAGGGGGCGGCGCGCGCGATCCGGCCCCGCTCGCTTCCCGCGCGCTCCCCCGACCCCCTCCCCGCGTCTACACCGGCCCGCCGGCCCGGAGCAGCCCGCTCCGGCTGCCCGGCCGGATGCGCTCAGCAAACGCGGCCCCTGTCGGATTTCCGCTAAACTACACCGTGGCGGCGGCGGCGCGGCCGGGGGAAGGCGCGGCGGGGACCCGAGGCCGGCGCCGCGCGCCCGCTGCCCGCCCGGAGCCCGGGCCCCGCGCTCCCTCCGAGCGCCCCGGGCCGGGTTTTCCGCTCCGGCGTAGACGCCGGCGGCGGGCGGATCCATCTCCTGCCGGGCGCCGGGAGACACAACCGTATCCGCAAACAAAACCCGGCCACCGTGCCACCCGCGCGGCGGGGACCGCGCCCTGCTCCTCCCCGGCCCCCACCCCGCGCCCGTCCTGCACCTAACCCGGCACCGGGACGCGGCGCGCGGAGGCGGACGGCGGGACGGCTCAGTGCAGACGCGAAAAGGAGGGGACTCAACTTTCCACCTGTCCCCAAAGGAAGCCCCGCAGGAGTTTCCCCGGCGGAGCTCAGGGTGGGGGACAGGCCCTCTGCGCCGCCGGTGCCTCTGTTCCCCAACTTCCCGGCGCCTGCGTCTCACCTTCCCTGACTTCACCCACGTCCATCTATACGCAAATATCTATATTTTACATTATTTGCAAAACTGCAACAGATGGGCGCGTGAGATCTGGACACTTTCCTACTCACCAAAGCTCCCCCCCCCTTTTTTTTTTTTGCCTAAAATACACCCTGAGTCCCGCCCACGACTATTTTCCTCAATTCATCTTCGAAAAATAATGTCTGGAACCAAACGGAAAGGCTTATCAGCAAAGATCCTTCTCGCCCCAGGCGTACATCTGGGCTGGGGGCGCGTCCCCAAGCCCTCTGCGTCCCCCGCGTTGCGGGGCGCCCGCTCCCTCCCCCGACCCGCCTGGTCCTCCAGCCCGGACTGGCCGGCTCGGACGCCCCCCTAACCTGTTACTTATTTATTATTTATTGTTATCTTTGGCCCCGGCCTGGTTTCTCCCCCCGCCCCCCGGGCCGGGCGGCTGGGACAGGTGCTGCGGACGCCGCCCGCGCTTGCAGGCGCCCCGGCCTTGCCCGGGGTCGCGGCTTCGGACCCCGGTGGCACCTCGGGCCCTGCGGAGTCCCCGGCCTGCGCGTCGCCGGGCCCCGGGGCACAGGAGGCGACGAGCACACAAAATGGCAGGGCTCGGCGGCGCGCGGGCCCGCGAGGGCGACACTGTAAGCATCAGCTAACTTTGATTTCTAAAGAAGGTTACGAATTGCCCTGTCCTCCCCGGGCGGAGGGGCCGGGGTCCCGCGGCGAGCGGGGAAGGAGGGCGGAGCGCGCGGGGGGAGCCCGGGTCCCGCGCAGAAGGGAAAATGGGAAAAGTCACTTGAGCAGAAGTTTGCGCCGCCCCGGCCTCCCCGCCCCCGCCGGGCCCGCAGCCCCCAGACCCTTTCGAAAGTTTCCGGGGCGCAGAGCGGCTCGCGGGGCGCGCGGGGCGCGGGCGGGACCCGGGGCGGGGAGGGAGCGGGTTCCGCGGGGCCGGGACGCGGCTCCAAGTAACGGTCCCGGGACCGCGGGGCTGGGACGCGGCGGCGGCCCGGGCGCGGGTCCCGCCGGGCGCCGAAGTTCCCCAGCGCCCTGGGGCGCGGGCCGCGCTCCGGCTCCCCCGCTCGCTCTCCCGGCGGCTGACAGCTCCTGTCGCCCACGTCACCGCCGCGGGTATTTAATGAGACCGTATTTTGTGATCGCGGCGGGGCGAGCAGGAGCCGGGCGCAGGCCTCGCTCGGCGCGCGGGGGAGGGGCAGGGGCCGGGGGCCACGCCGCGTCCAAACTCACTTGGCCGCCTCGGCGCGCCGGGGACCCCCCACCGCGCGCCCCCCACCGCGCGCCCCCACCTTGGTCGTCCTCACCTGAAACCCCCAGGCGCGGGCGTCGGGCGCAAACTCGGGCACGGCGGCGGAGCGTTGGAAAAGATTGTGTTCAATGAATAATGAAACACGTCCACATGATTGACTTGATCATTTTCCGGGGCCGAGGGGGGACGTGCGCCCTGCTCGCGCGCCCGGCTCGCCCACCCGGCTGCGCCCCCCGCCAGCTGCTCGCGCCGGGCCGGGCCGGGGCGGGCTCGGCGGTCCGCGGCCTCCGTCCGGAGTCGCCCGGGTCACCCGCGCCCCGCGCCCGCCCCGCGCCCGCCCCGGGCCCGGCCGGCCTCCCCCTCTCCGGTGGGTGGAATGCATTGTACCGTTAAGACGCTCGCCATTGTCGCCCTGGCATCACTCACAGCCGCTGGATAGGTCTTGCGGCATTTAGCTTTGATGAGCCGGAGAGCGAACCCCTGATAAAATAATCTACAAAGAATGGTGTGTGATCGTCCATTTTTCCTCCGTCTGGCAACTAAGAAACCATTTAACACGGCGCAGCTTGCGGCTGACCTTGAGCTCGTGTAAACACACTTATTAAAATCTATCTGTCCTCCAAGAGCTGCATTCTGATTGTCACACTCGTTACCGAGACATCCATCAGCCCCTCCAGCTCGTCGCTACTTTGCATTCCTGCCTTGGACTGGGGGATTTTTTATCCGGAGAGGCAGAGCGAGATTGCAGCGGATGGAGAGGGGTGGGGGGGGGACGCGGACCCGGGAGAGGAGAGGCAGAGAGAGGCGTCGTTCTTACCTGCTCCTGAAACTATTTAAAGTCTTGTTTCCTTTTTGGAGAGAGAGAGAGGAAAGGAAAAAAAAACTCCCGGGTGCATCTCGGTGGACAGCGGGACGCGGAGAGTCATCCACAGCCCGGGCGTTTAAGGGAGTCATCAGCGATCAAGTGACGTTGATCCGCGCTGTAACCTTGTGGCGTATTTAATGTAAATAAGGCAGTTATGTTGCCAACCGCGCGGTGCGAGCGCAGAGAGGTCCTCAGCCTCGCCTCCCTCGCCTGCCATTAGAGGCGACTTTATTTACAGACACTATTTAGGAGATCATGATGCTTCTAAAACAATACTAGTGCCAAATGATTATGAAAATATGATTTTAATTAATCACGTAGTAGGCAAGGAAATTAGCATACGGTAATTAAACTTGGAGAGAAACGTCACGCAGGTTTCTCTGCCTTATGGGTCCGGCACAGTCATCAGGCGGTGGGGCTCCAGGACTTCATTATCGAGCAAAATAACTTTTGCCAGGCAACTTTGCAAGGCTGGCCCCCGCCCCCCCAAAGGCAGACGTTTGGGTAGATAAAATGTCAGCCGAGGTATCAAGGTGGGGAACAGTGAGCCAGGCGCGAGGTTGGGTTTCTCCAAAGCGAGACAGGGGGGCGAGGAAGGAGGGGGGGAGGCTGAATAATGCAATTATGGATTCTCTGTCCTGGAGTTGACAAAAGCTGGTGCCTCAAAAGCCTCTTTGTTATGGGATTATATAATGATCCTGGTGTCATTACGGGGAGAAAAGATTCAGTAATAATAATAATAGTAAAAGAAGTATCCAGAGACACCAGTGAGGAGCTCGTTGGGAAGAAAAGCCTCGCATGTGACATTGGGCGTGTTAATAGCAGAAAGACGGGATCCGAAAGAGTTGATAAATAAGGAAGGAGACAGGGAGAGAGAAAGAGAGAGAGAGAGAGAGAAAGAGACAGAGAGAGAGAGAGAGGCCTGTGTTGAACACGATTAAGAAGCGAGGGAGACAGATTGATTATTCAAAACGCCAAGCCACAGGGACACTTAAACACTGATCCAGGTGAGACCTGCTCCAGCCTGCCTGCCGGACCGAGCTCCCCCAAGATGACCAGCGGGTTTTAAGCCGGGGCAGCACAAGGCACCGAAAGCGAAGACACAGAAAGAGCCTCAGACCCTATCACAACCCCTCCAGGGGAGGAGCCACCCAATTGCAAACCACCAGGGGCAGAGGCGGCCCAGCGCAGAAAACTTCGTATGCGGGGAGCCACCCAGCAGCCGGGGTTGGGGGCGCAGGTAGCAACCAGAAGATGCAGCTGCTCCTGCCCCGGGGCCTTGCACCTGGCCGCTGGTGGTCCTCCTGTCCCCACCGTCAGTGGGCACCTGAGACCCAGCACTCATTCTCTCTGTGTCTGTCTCTCTTAATCTCTACAGGAGTGGGGGTGGGGGTGAGAAAAGAATCCATTTTCCCCAACCTGCTAGTCCTATAAGATTCTTAAAGTCTGCTCAAATATCTGCATTGGTGTTTTAAAAAAAAAAAAAAATCCTCTTCCTACCCAAAAAAGTTTAGGAATTCAGTCCTCATTTTCCAATCTGATGTGTCTGAAATTCTCTTCGAACAAATTCCAAAATACAAGGGTTTTTTTTTCTTTCTTGTATAGAAATTAGCATTGCAATCACATCAATGATATCACTGTCTCTA